GGGCTTTCCGTTTCCCCCCAGTTACATACTTAACTAACCTCCCTGCCCCCCCAGTCCCTAGTTTAAACATTCCTCAACTACTCTACAAATACGCCTTCCCAGTACACTGGTTCCCCTCCGGTTCAGATGCAACCCATCCGGCTTGAACAGGTCCCACCTGTTCCAGAAGGTCCTCCAGTGCCCCATAAACCTAAACCCCTCTTTCCTACACCATCCTTTTAGCCACGCATTTAATCACCTTATCTCAGCTAACTTAGCCTGACTTGCGCGTGGCACGGGGAGTATTTCAGAAAATACCACCATGGATGTTCTGCTTCTAAGCTTATTGGCGACTGGATCCACCCCAGCCGGGGCCAAAAGCTTATCCACACGATCTGGAAGGTCTCCTACCTGGGCACCAGGCAGGCAAGACACCGTACAGGACCCTCTATCACACATGCACACATAACTGTCTACTCCCCTAATAATTGAATCCCCCACTACCACTACCTCCCTCTTCCTGGGGGGAGGGGGCTCCTCAGTGCCCAAGGGCCCACCCGCATCCCCAGTCCCTTCCGGCTCTAAAGCTGGAAGCACCTGAAACCTGTTAGACACAGACACCTCAGGTGATGCCGCCTCTGTAACGCGTGTATGCCTTTTCCTGTGTCTACGACCTACGGTCACCCAGCTCTCTCGACCTCTCTGCTCTTCATTCTCCCTCCTCCCCGCTAGTGGCATACAAATTGTACAGGTTGGTGAGTGTGGAAGCAGTAGGGATTAGATGGGTGGAGCAGGTGATGGGGTTGTCCGGGGAATACCATACTGTCATTTCTAACACCACCCCGTTTTAGTTTATATGTGTCTGCTGACATGGATTGCAGCATATTGGAGTCCAAATTGCTTGTCCAAATTGCAAGCAGCAATCCATTCTTCCTTTTATTATTTAGTGGTCATAAGTAAAGTACGGTTTCATCACTGTCTGAATTGAGTAGTCCTATTTAGTAGTCCTATTTTCTATCATTGTATAATGAACAAAAACACAACATTCAAGCATTTTGAATATTTTATTGGGAAAAATGTATAAATAGAAATCCAGCTTCTAAAAGGGCAGGCTGTCTTGATCAGATACCTCTAAATACAAGGTTAATCTTGGAAACTAATTCCCACATATTGGATCTGTCGTGACAACCATTTGCCAGTAGCAGCCCTACTCAAACCCTTACAATTGATCAGGTTGTTTATTGTGGCCTGTGGAATGTTGTCACACTGTTCAACTTCTTTAAGTTGCCTAATACTGGTGCAAACTGGAACATTCTTTCCTATGCGCAGATCCGAACGCTCCAAAAAAGGGTGACTTGGCTGGTAAATATGCAGTCGTGGTCTGTCATCGTAAAACCAGTTCTATGTACTGCCAAAAGCAGGCGTCCTCTGGTAGAGAAATAGACACTCGTGACACATTCATGGCAACATCTCTAGTGGACATCCTTGCATCCAGCATGCCAATGGCCAGGCATGTAACGATGAATCGCGAATCGGTTAAAAATCAATCTAAATGTATGACTATTTAAACTGGCTGATGTGGAAAATGAATCGCTACCTTAGGAGTCACTGTGTGTTCATGTCGATGTCGTACATTAGTTTATGGTTTTGACCGAAAGGGAGATGCCGAGCGAATGTGAAATTGGAGACACACCCCCCCATGTGTGGCGGTGGTGTGGGAGCATTTTAGCTTTCCGGTAATCACAAACGAAAACGGCCAGAAAAGCACAGACAAGACAAAAACTGTGTGCAAACATTGTAAAAGACTGATAACATACACAAATAACACAACGAACATGCTTACATGCAAGTCTTAGTTTATTTGATAAGGCTTTATATTAAGTGCACCTTCATAATGCATTCATTACACATTTATAGAACATTCAGTGCACCTTCATTATGCATTCATAGAGCATTCATAATCAGCATGCAAGTACACTTTAACATCCTCTGTGTGTGTGTGTGTGTGTGTGTGTGTGTCTATATATATATATATATATATATATATATAATATATATAATTTTTTTTTTTTTTATTGATTTGGGTTTTTTTCCCAATTTTATTTTTCAGTATTTTATTCAATTTCAGTTGCACTGTTAAGAAGAAGACATGTTTTGCACAGTTTAGAAAGAAAGAAATATTTTTTAATTTGTCTGCAGCTCATTCTTTTAAAAAATCGTGAGAAAATCGTATCGTGAACTCAATTGTGAATCGTATCGAATCATGAGTTGAATGTATCATTACATCCCTACTAATGGCACAGTCTCACTAAACTTGAAGCACCTGCAGCATTGTTTCTCATTGAAATCTGCTCATTTTTGAGAGCCCCTTTATTGATCCCAAAATAAGGATAATTTCAGTAATGATCAGGCTGCTCTATCAACTTAATATGCCACACCTATACAACTGATGAATTATCAATACATAAAAAATTACCAAAAAGAAAATCTTTATTTGGCAAAATTTGAAAGACATGCACTGTTTGTCTACAAAAAATCCTAGATTTCTTTTCCAAATTGCTTCAAAATGGGAGCAAAACCAGAAGTGCTGCATTTATATTTGTTCAGTATAGTTATAAGAACATAAGAACTATACAAACGAGAGGAGGCCATTCGGCCCATCGAGCTCGCTTGGGGAGAACTTAACTAATAGCTCAGAGTTGTTAATATCTTATCTAGCTCTGATTTAAAGGACCCCAAGGATTCAGCTTGCACTACGTTATCAGGAAGACTATTCCATACTCTGACTACACGCTGTGTAAAGAAGTGCTTCCTTAAATCCAGTTTGAAATGTTCTCCCGCTAATTCCCACCTATGGCCACGAGTTTTTGTGGCACTATGAAAGCTGTAGTCCATCTTTCGCCATAATTGATTGCTTCTTATTACCCAACCAAGGCTCGTTTTGGCTTGGCAATATAAGGGGAAACCAAACGTGGATAAGATTTACCAAAAAATTATTTATTAAAGTCCATGACAATGATAATTGACGCGTGCTGAAAGCTGGAGAGAGGGAACGTCAAACCCCGGCCAGGTAGTTCCTTATATGCACAGATGAATTAATTAGATGACCAACATCACCTGCGTCAATGCTCCACCCTGCAACATAAAACGTGAAAGGAAACAGCCCAACAGGAGGCAATGATGGGCAAGCCCATAACTTTCACCATGACACTGCTGATAATACAACTGTTTATTTCATTAATCAAATAGAAAGTGCATGTTTAAACATGAGCACAGACAAATTTGCTGCATATACTTCAAATCAGTACTTATTCATTTGTGATTGTAATAATTACTGGTGTTTTGTCCAGGAGTTCCGGGCCTTTGAGCTGCTCCGCAGTGGCCTGGACCGATCGAAGTACCTTCTGGTGAAAGAAGCCAAGATCATTGCTATGACCTGTACTCACGCCGCCCTCAAACGCCATGATCTGGTGGAGCTGGGGTTTAAGGTGGGGGCCCCATTTATAAGAACTGGCTCTGTGCCATCCTAAACTGACAGCCACATTCTGACAGTCTGCCTTTGATGGGCACAAGATGGCAACATGATCATGTGCTCATTTTATGTTTCATTTGAATTGTAGTATGACAACATCTTGATGGAAGAAGCTGCTCAGATCCTTGAAATTGAAACCTTCATTCCTCTTTTGCTGCAGGTAAGTCACACATCAGCTTTCACTGCAGCTTCCTGTAACCTTGAGTGCTGAATGATGTTTTATTGTTACCCCGTCACCACTATAAAATGCTGGAAGGGCAGGAAGGGCCACTTTTCAATGATAGATTAGATTTAGTCACTGCAGATGGAAATGGCTGCATAGTGTTTGCATGTTAATTAATTTTTAGTACAGACATAACACAGGAGTGTTACAAAACAGTTAAATTAATGTTACAGTACAATAAGAGAAATTGAACCTAACTGTAGTTGCATAAATCTTGCGATTTAACATTGATTCAAGCTGTGTACTTAATTCATTCGACCAACAAAACTCAAAACAACCTAGTACACGAGCATAGCTTCCAAAGTTACCTCTTCTAGCTTTAATTCTGACTAGCTGGTCAGCTGCAGAATCTCATTCTTTTCAAAATATTTTCCCTCATTAGAACCCGGAAGATGGTTTCAGCAGGCTGAAACGTTGGATCATGATTGGGGATCATCACCAGCTTCCCCCAGTAATTAAGAACATGGCCTTTCAGAAGTATTCCAACATGGAGCAGTCACTGTTTACCCGCTTTGTGCGTCTCGGTGTCCCCACAGTGGACCTGGATGCACAGGGCAGGGCTCGAGCTAGGTGAGAAGAAATTTTGTGCTGCTGTTTTTATTTATTCAGTTATCCTTTTTGCTGTGTATTTATATAGCACATTTAACTTCCCCAGTCTATGTAACCTGTACAACTGGCGTTACAAGAAACTGGGAAACCTGCCCCATGTTCAGCTTCAGCCTGAGTTTTGTTCTCCGAATCCGGGCCTGACCTTCGATTTCCAGCTCATTGATGTGGAGGACTTCAATGGTGTGGGTGAAACGGAACCGAATCCCTACTTCTACCAAGTAAGATGCTCAGCTCTGGGTTAATACAAAGTCTGAGTCACACTATGAGTGTGAAAGAGCCTGTATCTGAAAGCTGATATAAGCTGCTTACTGTAATTTCCAAACCTTTTGTAATTGATATAGCACATTCAGAATCCGGTTTGTCAAGTGCGTCTCCACATACAGGGAATTTCTCTGGTTTTCAGTGGCTCTCATACATACAGCTGATACATATGCGGTTAAGACTATCTTTTTATAAACTGCCGAAAAGTAAATAAGTATCAGACATGGATTGGTCACGTATGGCTGTCATCTGGATCGGTGCTGATCGTTACAGTTTTTCAGACAGGATGGTGAGATGCTGTCTGGGCTTGGTCCTTTCCTGGTCTTTTGTCTTTGGAAGAGCTGCTGCACATCCACTTCACAAATCTTCAGTGCAGGTTGGGAGGGAAGCAGGGTGGGCAACAGGCAGTTGTCAATTGTGTATTGGATGAAATAGAGTGGTTTAAGGGTGTGAACCTCAGCTTATTAAACCTGCAGCACAACATTCAAGTAGTCAGCCAGTTAGTGGTTCTCTGCAGTGTTTCTCATGATGTCATAAGGCTGATTTATACTTCTGTGTCGAGTCTATGCCATGACCTACGCAAGTGGCTTATGCTGTTGTGAGCATTTATGGGCTACTTGTGTACAGGTATGTCTGTCTCTCAGCAATTACCACCAAAACACTGGGTGTTGCATAGTTTTGGAAGTTGTATTTGTCTTCCCACCCTGCAATACATGCAATTGTTGAGTCACGCAATTGGGGGGGGGAAAAAACAAACATTAAACAAAGTATCCATTTGTTGCGTCCTGGTTATATTTGTGCTACTCCCAACTCCCTGTAGACAAATTTGTAATGTCAAGCTGCTACAAAGTCACTTTTTATGCATAGTGAGGGACAAAATAACACCTCATGAACCATTTGCTGTATTTTTTGACCCCACTTGATGGTGCTCTTGGTTTGTTTTGGGGCATGCTTTGTGCCCTTTTTTTTAACAGATAGCACCATCTAGTGTGGTCAAACAGCAAATGGTTCATGAAGCATCTTTTTGTCACTAGCATTTTCCTTTCTAAAATTAGTGTCTGTACTGCTTTTTTAGTTTTGTAAAGTACAAAAGCTTAATGGAGGTAAGTAAAACTGGTGCTGTCATCCTGATTTTGTAGATTTGTTGCTACAATGCCTAAGATGGGTTATTTAACGATAAGCGATATAAGTACACCTAGAATGTGCTTTCTTCACTCCCATAAAAACAAATGCTACCAAGTGGACCGATCACAGTTCTTGTGGTCTCTCAGTTCTTGCGGACCTGTAGTTGCATTTCTGGGGAGGTGCAGGTCAGGCTACGGCGTAAGCTATGGTGTAGAGTCCATGGCTGCACTGTACTTATGGCATCGATTCACTGCAGAAGTATAAATTGGCTATTACAGGCCTTTCCACACTTCACACTGAAGCAAAGTTGTTGGCCTCCCTTTTCCTTGCTTACCTGAACTAGGCTTTGTTCCCACTTCTGTAGGCCACCTTCCGTTGCCTGCCGGAGCTGTCTGAGTTTTGTCATAAACGACGGTTTGTCATTATTGAATTTCAAGCTGGTTCTGGTGGGAAGACACAGATCCTTGCAGAAGTTGATATAAGATTTGGCTGTCAGTGAGCTCATCCAGGTCAGCAGCTGCTGCTTTAAAACACTCCAATCAGTGCAGTCAAATCACGCTTATAGCTTCAGCTTAGCTTATAGCTCCTTTCATTGAATATGTAGCAACTTTCATGTGTATGAATGAGCCATTGTCACCTGGCCACGTCCCCAACCCCCTTTTATGGCGCTGAAGGGGATGTATCTTGATTGCGTTTCACCGTTGCGCTGTTAATCAAATTACCATGCGAATGCGATTTGAATACGCGCTAATGCGGCTATTTAGAATGTGAATAGCAATCTTCAGGTGAGAGCGGCACTACACGCCCCCGATGCAGGTAAAACAAAGATGACATGGTTTACTTTTCTGCCGATTTAACCTAATTAAAAAAACTTTAATACTTCCGACAATGGACGTTTTGAAAAGAAGACAGATTACGGATTTAGCCAGCGTTTTTTTCATGATTCTACATTAAGATTTCAGCGAGATATAAACTGAAATAGACGCGAAAAGTACGCGATGTCGCCGACGACATACTCGACCCCAGAGAGTTAAAGGGATGAAAAATAAATAAAATTTTAGACGCTTCCATTAAAATTCATAGGAGCACTTTGGTTCTCGCCCCTCCTTGGATTGCCACCTTATCGTGGTGGAGGGGTTTGCGTGCCTCAGCCCCCAGGGTCACTGTGTTGTCGGGGGCAATAGCCCCTGGTAGGGTCTCCCAAGGCAAAAATGTCCCAGGGGAGGGGTCAGACAAAGAGCAAACCAAAAGAACCTTATGATAAGGTATTCAAGCGAAGTCCCATTTCCCACGCCCAGACTAGGGTCACTTGGGCCCCACCCTGGAGCCAAGCCTGGGTGAGGGGCCCATGGGGCCCAGCCGGGCATAGCCTGAAAGAGGCATGCGGGACTGTCCCCAGGTGGGCTCACCACCCGCAAGGGGAATGTCAGGGGTTTGGTGCTTTGTGGATCGGGTGGTGGCCAAGGGAGGCCCTGGCGGTCCGATCCCCGGCTGACAAAACTGACTTTCGTGACATGGAATGTCACCTCTCTGGTGGGGAAGGAGCCTGAGCCTGGACACTCTTTTCTTCTGGAGTTGCGGCGGGTGAGCGACGCCGGGCTGGGGTGGGGCTACTGGTGGGCCCCACAGCTCGGTGCATTAACAACGGAGTTTACCCCGGTGAACGAGAGGGCTGTCTTCCTGCGCCTTCAGGTCGGGGATAGGTCTCTGACTGTCATCTGCGCTTATGCGCCGAATGTTGGTTCAGAGTACCCGGCCTTCTTGGATTCCCTTAGTGGTATGCTGGTTGGCGTGCCATGAGGGGGGCCACCAGTAGCCCAACCCCAGCCCGGCGTCGCTCACCCGCCGCAACTCCAGAAGAAAAGAGCGTCCAGGCTCAGGCTCCTTCCCCACCAGAGAGGTGACATTCCATGTCACGAAAGCCAGTTTTGTCAGCCGGGGATCGGACGCGTCATTACCCATAGCTCATGACCATAGGTGAGGGTAGGGACGAAGATGGACCAATAGATCGAGAGCTTTGCTTTTCGGCTCAGTTCTTTCAGTTAACGCGTTGAATGAGACCGCGAATACAGGTGGCCGAAATGATGTTTCTCCGCAGAGTGTCTGGGCCCTCCCTTAGGGATAGGGTGAGAAGTTCGGATATCCGGGAGGACCTCAGAGTAGAACCGCTGCTGCTTCACGTCGAAAGGAGGCAGTTGAGGTGGTTTGGACACCTGGTGCGGATGCCTCCTGGGCGGCTACCCAGAGAGGTTTTCCGTGCATGTCCTACAGGGAGGAGGCCCCAGGGCAAACCCAGGACTCGCTGGAGGGATTATATCTCTCGGCTGGCCTGGGAATGCCTCGGTGTCCTCCCTGAGGAGCTGGTAGAGGTAGCTGGGGAGAGGGAGGTCTGGGTATCTCTCCTGAAGCTGCTACCCCCGCAACCCTACCCCGGACAAGCGGCAGATGATGGATGGATGGATAGACTTTGGTTCTCGGACATATTATAAAAATCTGTCTTTTGTTATAACCCTTCAAATTTTCACACAGCAATTGTGAAGTACTCTTGGTTTACACCAAAGAAACTTCTTTGAAACCTTATTGTGATCTGACATTACGTTGTTAAAAAAAATATTTTCATATTACTTTTAAACCTCATGTTTCACATTTTTTATTTGCTTTGAGTATCCTACAGCACAAATATTAAGTATTACTGGATGAAATAGCTTTGTTGTAGTTGGCTACTTTTTCTCTGTAGCTTGTAGTGCAGCTAACTACTATATTGAAACAGTAGCTTGGCTGTAGCTTACTTTAATTTGTAAGTAGCATGTAGCTTGAAAGCTGCTGTTTAAAGTAGCTTCCCCAGCACTGGAAATCAATGTACATACAGTGGGATGTCTTGGAAAAGATCATCTTAGTGAATGCTTTCTGTGTAAAGGAGAACATATTCATATTTGTCACTAAGCACAGCACAGGTCTGTGTAACAGATGTTTTAAATGTAATTTTCATGTTTTTATTAAATTATTTACAATGAAGTAGGTAATACAGTTGTATTTATTACAGTATAATTCTGTATGACAACTATGAGAACCCATACACTCAAGGTAGTAAGGAGAAATTAAAAAAGAATTAAGGTGGGTAATTAATTGCACTGCTGTATTGTGGTCATGTGAAAGGTTAATAGAAAATTTACAAAAGTTTAAGGAAAGCAAATTTTTATGCTGGAAGTACCTTTTACATACTGTTGTTGCTCTTTGTTCTCCTGGGATTCAGAATCTAGCTGAGGCAGAGTATGCTGTGGCCCTCTTCATGTACATGCGCCTCCTGGGGTATCCCGCAGAGAAGATCAGCATACTGACCACCTACAATGGGCAGAAGCACCTCATCAGGGATGTGGTGAACCAGCGCTGTGCCAGCAACCCCTTCTTTGGCCATCCCAGTAAAGTATGGAGGCAACCATTTTGTTACTAAATTATATTACAGGAATAGGATTAGAACTTGGTTAACTTGGATAATCTATACATTTAAACAGGGGCAGTGTAAGTGCATTGTGGGAAAATGTAGCATTAACACATTATGCATAAATTTATAACCATATCAGTTTCTAAGTGTACTGAGATACTTAATATTTTCTCTCGACATCAACCAAGACTCAACATGTGAAATATACAAAAATGCCCTTCCAAGCTCCTTATATCAAATGCCAGAACGCTGTGAAAATTATTTTTTGCTCTACAAGAATGGTGATGCGAAAATATATTTTTGTGTGTAGGTGACAACAGTTGACAGATTTCAGGGTCAGCAAAATGATTACATCATCCTCTCACTGGTTCGCACCAAAGCTGTGGGACACTTGAGGTAAGCAGACACCCCCATCTCAAAGGTTAAAGAAGTATAACAGAACAGAGTAGTAGAAATATTACAGGAATGTTACTGTTTTGTCGTCTGCAAACTTGACAATGGTGTTAGTGGTGAATGCAGGGACATAATCGTGGGTGAAAGGGGACGTTGTGTGCCAGTGTTCTGAGTTATAGTTTAGGACAGGTGATGGCCCAGTCTCACCACCTGAGTAGGCTCTGACAGGAAGCTCAGGATCTGTTTGCACAGTGGTGAGCTGAGGCCTAGCTGGGGGAGTTTGGAGGTGAGCTTGCTGGGATGATAGTATTGAAAGCAAAGGTGTAGTCCACGAATAGCATCCTCATGTATGTGTCCTGACTCTTCAGTACTGCAAGTACCGCAGTCTAAAGAAAATATTACAAGCCTACCTTGCACACTTTCCCTATGTCATCAGAAAATTGACAGGATTAAATTCTAACACAACTTAATGTTGCTGAATATCCAATGATACATTTCACTGACTGACTATTGGACTACTACAGATATAATTTGATGAACGAGGAGGCTAGCAGCCAAAAATCAGTATAAGCTTTACTGTAGAACATTCAGAAAATAATCAAATAATATTTGAATATTTAAATAATAATCACCCCACAGTTTTAGAATTACTGGCTTGTACAGTGTTCCTGAGAAATCGAAAAATTTGCGAGCTTGAAATGGTAATTTGAGAGTACAAGAAGGTAAATTGTGCACATTATAGGATTATGTGAGCTAGGATTAGTATTTTGTGAGATAAAACATCATTGCGTACACGTTTAATACATCTTCCGTACCAAAATGTATTTTTTTTTAAGAATCTGTCTATGCCCCCGTTCATGGTTCTGTCCATACCAGGGTTCCCCTAATTCCAGTCCTGAAGGGCCGGAATCCAACACAGTTTGTAGATTTCCCTGCTCAAACATCTTAATCAGCTAATTATAAGGTTTAGTAGGTGTTTGAAGAAAGATATTTTTAAATTGTGTTGGATTCTGGCCCTCCAGGACTGCAGTTTGGGAACCCTGGTCTATACCATCTGTTACAGTTGTTACTGTTTTGTCACAAATAACCTTGATCATAATGCAAGTGAGAAATAAATACAATATAAATATTTAAACATTTAAAAATGAATTATATAAATGACGTTTTAAGATCTGAACATTAAGACTTGCAGTAAATGAACAGGTAGTTTTAGAATTACACAACTAGGACTAAGAGCATTCAGGTAGAAGTACATTTATTGACTTTCACATTTCAAGTTTATCCAACCAACTCTTCTAGAAATTGGCAGGTTGGTGAGTGTGAGATGAGTATAGATTAGATGGGTGGAGCAGGTGATGGGGCTGTCCTTGTAGTACAATGTTGTTGTTTAGAGAGCCCCTAAATGTCTCAAACTCTATATCTCTTGTGTATTTCCCCAGAGATGTTCGGCGCTTGATAGTGGCCATGTCCAGAGCTAGACTTGGCCTTTACATCTTTGCACGAGTGTCCCTGTTCCACAACTGCTTTGAACTGACTCCTGTCTTCAGCCAGCTAACTGCCCGCCCTCTGCAACTTCACATCTGGCCCCAGGAGTACTACACTGAAGTAGTTCAGGTATGAGACCAATTCTAAACACCCAAGTAAAGCTGACACATCATACCACTTTTATTTGCTTTGGTAAATTTCATTATTCTCCACAGAACAGGACTCGCTCCCCATACTCTGATCAGGTCATCAAGAATATGCCAGAGATGGCGAGTCTGGTGTACAACATGTACATGAGCATGATTCAGAAAACACAAACTAGACAGGTAAGTCAGGTGGGTTTTGTGCTACCATCTATAGAAAGGTAAACACTGACAAGAAATAGCACCCCCACCTCCAGCCCGCGTTGCATAATACAGAGAAAGTTATGAAGGGAGGGATTCACAATAGGTTAAAAAGTGCAAAACACAAGATAGGGCAGGATAAAGGAAGGCGGACTCCAGTCTACATGCATAGAGCTTGAATGTTTATAACCAGTGGTAATAAATACATAGGGATTTCAGTTCTCCCATCAGATGCGCAAGTCAAAAAAGCTCTTAAAAAAAGTTATGTGCATTTGAGTCACACACTTTCTCTTTATCAGCGCGGTCATGCCCACTGCACTTAACCCAAAAAAGAAGGTGCAGCCATTCAAGGGTTACACCCTCAATGATTTTGCCAGAAAACAAAATAATATATACATTTCATATTGTTACAGCTTTCTGAACACTGCAATATTGTGTTTGGCCATATGGAGCATGACTTAATATAGCCCTCCAGAGCTAATAGTGAAAAATGCAATTATGTCAATGTCAATTTTCCCTGGGATAGTTGATCAGTTTTGTTATGTAACAAACAAAAGTATTTCAACAAATCCAGGGCAGAGTTACACAGATGCGGGGGGGAAAAATGACAAAACTAATGAAAAATTGAGCAAAAATCATACTTTATTGCATGTAACCCACAATAAAGTTACTTTATATAAAATAAATCAAATCAGAGAGACAAATATTTTAATATACCTAAAATGTTAATTTCAGTTGCTCTTTACAAAAGACAAATACTGTGTTTCATTGTAACATTCGTCTTCAAAAGATTAAGGTTAGTGAGAGTGCCCATATTTTAATATTTTTGTAGTGGTTGAACTTAATATTCTGTAAATCACAAGTTTAATTTCCAACAAATACAATAGTATTATAAACACACATGTACAGTTGTGTTCAGAATAATATCAGTGTGTCTAAAAAAGTGAATAAAGCTGAAAATCCTTATAATAGTTTTTATTTCCATACATGCAAATGCATCGGGAACACTAAAAAGTCTATTCCAAATCAAAACAAGAAGAGAAATTCATCACATTTGTGTTATTCCTTTACCAAAAATGAAGGAAAGGGAATATTAGGCTGTTCAAAAAAATAGCAGTGTCCACATTCTTCTTTACAAACTCAGATTTACTGTATGAACTGAAAAATGTTTTAAGATTTTGCTTTCCTTTGAATCATTGAACTAATATTTAATTGTATAACCACTGTTTCTGAGAAATGCTGCACATCTGTGTTGTATGGAGTCGACCAGCTTTAGGCACCTGTGAACAGGTATTCCATCCCACGATGATTGGACTACATTTCTTGGTTTTGCCTCTGAAACAGCATTTTTGATGTCACCCCACAAGTTTTCTATTGGATTAAGGTCCGAGGATTGGGCTGGCCACTCCATAAAGTCAATCTTCTTGGTCTGGAACCAAGATGTTGCTTGTTTACTGGTGTGTTTGGGGTCGTTATCTTGTTGAAACACCCATTTCAAGGGCATTTCCTCTTCGGCATAAGGCAACATGACTTCTTCAAGTATTTTGAGGTATTCAAATTGATCCATGATTGCTGGTATGTGATAAATAGGCCCTCCACCGTAATATGAGAAACATCCCCATAACATGATGCTTGCACCACCATGCTTCACTGTCTTCACAGTGTACTGTGGCTTGAATTCAGTGTTTGGGGGTCATTTGACAAACTCTCTACAGCCACTAGACCCAAAAAGAACAATCTTGCTTCCATCAGTCCACAAAATGTTGTGACGTTTTTCTTTAGGCCAGTGTTCTTTGGCAAATTGTAATCTCTTCCGCACGTGTCTTTTTTTTCAGCAATGGGACTTTGCAGATAGCTTGGCTTCATATAGGCATCATTTAATTGTAACAGTACTCACTTTAGTCCTTCTTTGATCTTCCTGGAGCTGATCATTGGCTGAGTCTTTGCCATCTTAGCTATTCTTCGATCCATTCGAATGGTAGTTTTTCGTTTTTTTCCACGTCTTTGGTGACATTTTGGTTGCCATTTTAAAGCATTCGCAGTCATTTTAGCTGAGCAGCCTATCATTTACTGCACTTCTTTATATGTTTTCCCCTCTCCAATCAACTTTTTAATCAAGGTACGCTGTTGTTCTGAACAATGTCTGGAATGCCCATTTTACTCAGAATTTCAGAGTGAAATGCACTATAACCAGCATGGACAACATTTGCTGCCTTCCTTCCTTAAATAAGGCCCATAATTGGCACCTACTTTTTCACAGAATGAATGACCTCACTAATTGAACTTCATACTGCTATTTTTTTTTAACACGCCCCTTTCAAGTAATGATTGTTACACATAATCAGCAGCATGCATGTCATGACTGTTGGGTCTGTTGGTTTTCCATTACTCTACTATACCTACTAGTAAATTATTTGCCATGTAGAAATATAATTTCTACCAAAAACGGTGATTGATCAGGTTAGTGATGTCGGACTGCTATTATTTTGAACACAACTGTACATATAATCGCAGGTACTGAACAGCCAAATCAATACACTTTAATTCTGACCATGTGATAAATCTAAAATAGTCTTCCTTCTGCCATACTGCCGAGTATTCGAGAAGGAAAATTTTAATCGATGCTTTTAAATCGAATAATCATCAAATGTGAATAATGTAATATAATCCACAGTGATTATATTAATTACATATACACAAAGAACACTAAAGACTTAAGGCATTTAGTCTTATTTGATTTCAATAGGGGTTTCTTGTTTAAATAGCTACAGTTGTGCATCTTTCGGGTCCAAGTTCTGATTCTGTTCTGGATGCCGCTTACTGGTGCAGTGCATCTCCATTTTCCTGCAGTCTAAGGGTATATCTCCCCCCCCCCCCAATCTGCAAGCTTAAAGTTAGGGTACAAAAATTAAAACGTAAAATTGGTAGGTTTTCCTGGTTTCTGTGCTTACTTTGTGTGTGTTAACAAATAAGTTTATGGGACACAACATGCACTGGCTGTCTTCAGCAGGTGGATGACAGTCTTTTAGCTGCACCTTTCCAACCACAGCCGATAGCTGATGCAAAGAGCAAGTTGGAGCAGGTGGTGCAAGAGCCCAGCACAGAGGAGGCTGCTGAAGAGGACCATATGGAGCAGGAAGAGGCAAAACAAGAACACCCCAAAATGCCTGAGCACCCAGGAAGAGACAGTGACAGTGAAGACAGCGGAACAGAAGATGATGCATAGCGAGATAGTGTACCCTAAAGCATCAGCACCATTCCTTAACGTTAAGACATAGAGAAATGCTTTTGCCTAGTCATGTATTTGAGTAATATACTCTTTTCGTAGTTTTTTTTTTTTTGTTTTGCAAAACAACTTGGATAACTGGCATTTAAAAAAAAAAAAAAAAAACTGTGTGTTTACCTTGATTAGCTGGAGAACTTTTTTCATAAAGTTTATTTTAAAGGTTTTTAGTGAGTACATGGAATATGTGTTTAGTAGTATACTGGCACACTGCATCCCCTCAGCCTTCTCGATTTATCTTCAAAGAATTCATTCAAAGCCTATGTCCCATACGCATCATTCTTAGGGATGTTTCTGTTACTACTTATACATACATCACAACACAGACATTATGCAAGTTCTGGTTATTAGTAGCAATTGCCTGTCTGCTCATTACTGTAGACCTGGTATTTAAAGTTATTAGCTCATAAATTCTATTCAATGCAAAGCATGGTACACACTAGGGCTACATGCTATCACATGATTCTTTGGCGCACGTGCAATAGACACAATAATCTGTATAAATTTTGCATATCCTTATGTTAACCAAGCTTGATAATCGTAGCATGCCACATGCTACTGTTTTGGTAAATCATGGAAGCGATTTATAAGCACTGAAGTGGCGGTGAAGAAAGGGACACCTCAGCAACCACTACATCTTTTAAAAGAGGCGATACCATGGTTAAACAAGGTAAAAAGGCATCAAGGTGTGGAGGTACTTCATGTAGTCAGACACGTTTCTTAAATATAAAGATACACTGAATTTATACAGATTACTAACTTTTGGACATTATAACCTCTCTGATGTTTTAGGCTTACTACTAATCTGCTTACTGAATTGTGGACATAAGTTAACGTCTATATAGTACCAAAATGCTGGCGTCCAGACAAATGTTTCAGCAATTACCTAAAGCCCTGGTGATTATTGAACATGCACCATCAAATCACAGTGTGATGTGATATGCCCTCCTACTACCCATTATGATAATGTTCTGCATTCAGCTGTATTCAACAAAGGAGATTTTCAGTTAGAAGTACTAGAAAAAACATTGTGCATTTGATTAGCTGACACTTCTGTCCAAAGCAAAGTGAAGACATTTTGGTCATAGAGCAAGGACATCCAGTGTCCTTGCAACAGGTGAGGAGAATACATAATTTCTCATAGACTTGCTGGGGATATGGACCACACAGTTCCTGAAACCTTATATGCAACTACTGGCACAAAATTATCCAGCTACCTTTGCTTTAGGAACTGAAAGATGCCCACCCGATTCCAGCTAAAATATCTAGAAATCTTCACTGTGCATCCAAAGGTGCTCAACATTAATTATGTATCTACAGTAAGTCAGAGAGGGCTTTGGCAGACTTAGTGATTCTATATAGGATTAGCTGTTGAAACAATACTGGGCATGATTTTAAAGTACCAAAGTCAAACATTTAAAAGTCACCTAAAACAACACCAAAAACTCTTTAACATATTTAGTTCTTCCAGTTTTTCTTACTTGGAGGGGGGGGGGGGGGCTTAATATCACTTAATTCATTTATCACTACATAGGAAGTGAAGTTTGCATGCAAAGATGTTGGTCTTGTTTAGTCTTGAAATTAATAATTAGCGCAAAGATATGGAGAAGTTACAAAGTATATCAAAAAGATGCTGCAAGGGCACATTTAGTTTCTTGAACATATACACTACACAATGTATTGGGAGACCTGGCCATTACACCTACAAGATCTTTCATGACATTCCATTCTAAATCCATAGGCGTGATGAATGGGATTTTTTGCCTATTCATACAGAACAGCATTTGTGTGGTCAGGCACTGACGTTAGACATGAAGAGCTGGCTCACAGGCTCCATTTTAGTTCATCCCAAAGGTGATCAGCAGGGTTGAGGTCAGGGCTCTGTGCAGAGTAGTCAGGTTCTTCCACAGCGAACACATCCAATCATGTCTTTATGGACCTTGCTTTGTGCATTGAGACACAGTCATGCTGAAACAAAAAAGGGCCTACCCCAAACTTTTCCCATAAAATTGGAAGCATACACTCGAAAAACTAATTTTTGTTGTTTGTTCAATTTAAGTAATTAAAATGAGAAGATATGACTTAAATATTGATTAAAATCATTTGAGCTTAATTGAATTTAATTTAGTCAACATAATTTAGAGAAAAATAGGTTTACAATTTTTTTTCTAGTTGAGTCAACATGAACATTTTTCGTTAATCATAACCGGATGTACGTCGTCAGCCGAAACGGATGAAGAAGCACTGTTCAGCGCCAAAAGAACATGTGAGGTAAGTGTTACTTTTTTAATCTATCACCAACCATGTACTTAATGAACAAATTAACTTAAAATACGAATATTTATTTCATGCTGCATGTCAGAAAATAATGTTATTCAAGAATTGTGTGAAAATAGCTAACTTAGTGTGTTTAATAATAATTGACGTTAGCCTTTAGGTTGCAGCTATTAATGTTTAATCATCCATTTTGACTAACAGCGTAACATAGCATGGTAAACTACAATGTGTAATAGGAAAAAAGAGGACACAAAACCCATCAATATTTTCAGTAAAGTTACTGTTAATTAATGAACGAACCAGGGTCGTAACCACCACCCTGACATATTCATATATTCGAGGTCTCCCTCAACCGTATATATCTTATCGCTCATCGATGTCAAAATAATTAAAAAATAAAAATAAAACGGGCAGTAGATTAGCCACCTGTAGCGTGTTCATTGGTAACCTTTCCACTCTCGGGCTTTTTTCAAGCTGCGCGGGGCAAATAACCTCGGAGACCCGAGTTGCAAGGACAGTATCAAAATGCGATTTCATTGTTGGGCCAGTGTTAAGAAATAATCTCATTTAGATCGCAGTACTAATTATTTTTGTCATTTTGCACAGAAACGGGTTTAAAAAGTCTTTTTAAAACTCTCCGGTATACTGATGCAAAACATGGGAATGAGCTGTGGTGTCTACTGGTCTTTGCAAGGTAAAAACGTGACGTTTCTCCAAGCGTTTGCATGTTCTGTCGACCGACATAAATGTTACTAGTAGGGGTGGGCGATATACCGGTAGACACGACTAACCGGTAGAAATTTGTCAACCGATAGAGATTTTGGTCTATCGTCTTAATCGCGATTGAGATCACGTGACGTTGCACGTTAGGTAACCACGCAATACACTTTCACTTCGACAATGGAAGAAGACGGTGCAGCGGTGAGTTTGCTTACATGTGACGAAACCAACAAGGAGGAGATTGTAAAGAAAAAAGGTGCATTGTCTGTGGTGTGGAATTGGTTTGGGTATAGGAAAAGTGATACGAATGAGACGAACGTGATTTGCAAGGTATGCAAGAGCACTGTTTTAGCAAGCGGTGGAAACACGTCAAACCTTTTCTATCATCTCAAATCCAAGCATCCAAACGAATATGGCCAAAGTCAAAAAATGTACACTGTGCTAACTAATCTGTACCAGATAACTTTTTCCTTTCTATTTCTTTGTACATAAATTATATGGCGTTTAAATGCTTCATATACCGCACAATCTGTGTTTTAATAATTATAAACAAAATTTAATAATCATGTAGTTACATTAGCAGGAAGCTGATGTTCCTCACTCTTAAGTTATAGCATGGTGTCAGAAATACACTCTTTTAATATTACACTCTTAAAACACATTTAATATTTATATTAAGTTGTACATTTAAATGTTTTAGGATATATTTTTTCCACAACCAGACTGTTATTTGTACAAACTTTTGCATGTGTGCAAGGTTTTTGATTTGGTTAAAACTTCTTTCCTGTTGTGATTTTGTTTTAGATTGTAGTAGACACTCATCAAAGTATTGGAACTGTTTTTAAGTGACTACAGGTAAGTTCAAATTCTTTATTTAATATTAGAGCATGTTAGTCATGTGCCAGCCACTATAGTCTATACATTTTAGCAGAATTTATTTTTTTGCATACATTTGCATCGGTGCCCCTCTCGATTAATAACATTCAGGACATGTTGCACAGACGTAACATTATTGTTCAAAAAGCAGTTATACAGGAAATTTCTTTTTTATATTTAATTTTTTTAAAATATATTTTTTAATTATTTTTTTATATTTAGGCTTAGTTATAACTTCTATCCTGTTTGTTTTTTTTTTTAGGTTTTAGTACACTGTTATTTTATCAAGTATTGCAATTGCTTTTAACTGACTAGAGGTAGGTGCAAAATCATTATGTAATAATGGTCCAGAAATTCTTAACCCCCCCCCACAATTATTATTATTTTTTTTGTCCTACAGTGCATGTGGAAGTGTAAACAGTGTACTGCTGTGGAATCCAGTAGGCCTGGTTTGCTTAAACATTACAGACTAAAGCACAGACATTATACTTGTAGCAGGCGTTATCCATGTCCATATTTGACTTGTCAGTGTACCTTCAAAACATGGAATAGCCTTTGTATACATTTAAGTAGAGTCCACAAAACGCATGCGTCACAAGAACAAATCCCTTTGTCAACGTTTAGTTGCCCTGTATGTACATGTAGTGATCTTGCATCTGAAAGGGAATTTTTCCTGCATCATAATACACATTTACGGAGTAATGAGACAGTCCAGTGTGTATTTATTGGTTGTAGCTTTGAGACAAATATATATGCAACTTTTCAGTCTCACAAGAACAGAAAGCATAATTCACATTCAGTCAAAGATTTCAAGCCTGGCATAGTTAAAACTGCAAGGGATTTTGATGACTTGCAAGAGCACGTTTTGGAGGATGACAACACATGTACTGTAGATGAAACAGTTAGTGTTCATCACAGCAGTGATTCTGTGGAATTAGACTTGTCAAAAATAATTGAGAATAATTTTGCTGCAGCATTGTTAAAATTAGAGCATGTTAGTCATGTGCCAGCTACTGTAGTGAATGAATTTTTAGAGGAATTGCATTTTTTGCATACATCTGCATCTGTGCCCCTATCGATTAATAGTATTCACGACATATTGCACAGCCATAACATTATTGTAGATAAAGCAGTTATACAGGAAATAGCTGCAGCAGCCTCTTCCTCTACCCCTTTGTTCAAAGCTATTAGCAAGGGTGGTCTCCTTAGCTCTGATTATCTGCGCAAGAAATATTACAAAGATAATTTTCATGTTGTAGAGCCAATTGAATACATTCTTGATTTTAAAGAAAACCGAACATATCAGTATATTCCCATACTGCAATCTTTACAGCAGATTTTGCAAAGTAGAGAGGTTGTGGACGACATCGTTCAGAACCACAACGGTCAGCAGCATAGTGGTGGTATTAAAGAATACAGAACATTTAAGGACGGCAAAATTTACAGAGAGAACAGTTTTTTCTCAGTGGATGATTTACGACTGTCTTTAAGTTTATATGTGGATTAATTTTGAAGTTTGCAATCCCCTTGGCACATCTAGAAAAATACACAAACTGTGCAATTTATTGGATTTTAAACAATCTAACTCCTGGATCACATTCAGTTTTGTCTAATATTTACTTAGCAGTGCTTTGCAAAACTGATGATGTAAAGAAATTTGGGTACCATAGAGTTCTGGAACCTCTCATTCAAGATTTGTGTACTCTTGAGGAACATGGAGTCTTTGTCTCTCAGTTGGGTAAATTTCTCAAAGGGGCTCTTCAATTTGTAGTGGCAGATAACCTTGGAGCGCATGGGATAGCAGGCTTTATTGAAAATTTTTCTGGAGAATATTTCTGTAGATTTTGCTTAGCAAAACGCTCAGATATTCAGACAAATGAGGTCCGCTCTGGTTGTTTTGTACGAAGGTCAAAAGAAGGTCATGAATCTCATGTGAAGCTGGCTAAGCAGACAAATGCTCCATCCTTTGGTGTTAAAAAAGAGTGTGTGTTCACAAAGCATCTTAAACACTTCTGTGTTATCTCTGGTTATCCACCAGATATTCTGCATGATCTTTTGGAGGGAATCGTGCCAGTTGAGCTTGCACAGTGCCTTGCAGTTCTTGTATCTAAAAAATATGTCACTGTTGAACATCTCAACAAAATCATAGTTAAATTCCCTTATACAGGAACAGATAAGAAAAACAAACCACATGTGATACCACACAACTTTTCCAAAAGAAACACCATTGGGGGCAATGGACATGAAAATTGGACACTGTTAAGGTTGCTTCCATTGATGCTTGGGCATTTGATTCCAGAGGACGAATTGGCATGGCATGTTCTTTTGGATTTGAAGGACATTGTAGAACTTTCTGTTGCAAGGTTTCACACAGATGACACAATTGCATATCTTGAATGCAAAATTACTGAGCATAGACAGAAGTACACAGAGCTTTTTCCAGGAATTGTTCTTCGACCGAAACATCATTTTGTAGAACACTACCCTGAGCTCACAAAGTTATGTGGTCCACTTGTAGGGCAGTGGACAATGTGTTTTGAAGCTAAGCACAGCTTCTTCAAGCAGGTCTCAAAGCATACAAAATGCTTCAAGAATGTGCCACTGTCATTAGCAGTGAAACACCAGCTAATGATTTCCTACTACACAAGGCCTTGTTCCCTACAGAAGCTTGACTATGAAGCCCATGATGTATCAACTGTTTCAGTTGATGTTTTGAATCTGGCAGCTGCTGAGAAAATTAAATTGAAGTATCCTAATACAACAGAAGTACACCTTACCAAATGTGTGAACAGTAAGGGTGTTGAATTTAGAAATGGAATGATAGTTCCATATGGATCCACAAGTGGGCTGCCAGACTTTAGTGAGATCCTTCAAATCTGCATGGTCCAGGAAAGATTGTGCTTCATTGTGAAGAGGCTCTCATCATGGTACAGAGAGCACAACCGTGCCTTTGAAGTAAATCCAACAAGTGACATCTCCTTGGTTGAAGTTGATGATTTGCTAGATTCTTACCCTCTGGCAGCCTACTCTACTGAACGTGTGAGGATGGTTACTTTGAAACGATTTCTGACTGTGACAGGTTTGTGATTTATCATTCTTGCTTTTCACTATATGTATATTCTGGCCAAGCAATATTAATGGACAATTTCCCATTTTGTTAGGTTCAAATTTATTAGCTTTTTGTGGTCTGTGCATATTAGGTTTGTAATGATATTCTTGCGTAAACAATTTCAAAATCTATGTTTTCAGTTTTAAGTTTGTATCTCAATTGGCTTGATATCTGGTTGACACTAAAATGTTCTTGTCTTTGCAGATTAGGAAAGATTAATTCAGGATGGCATTCAAACTTCAGGTCATATGGGAAAATGAAAATTCACAGAAGCTCACGTTCAATGATGGCTTGCCAGCATCTGTAAATGAACTGTCAAAAAAGATAGAAGATGAATGTGATCTCCAAGGGCAGCAATTTCGTCTTCAGTACATGGACAAAGACTTCAATAAGTTCATGAATCTGAAATCTGTCTCTAGCCTCAGTGACAAAGACACTCTCAGGGTTGTTTTTTTGACCTCAAGTGCCAGTTCCGTGAGCGATGTTCCTGTGGTCAGTCCTGTTGCCCATTGTCATTCTTCTGACTCCTATGATGCTGACAATGAGAGCTTCTGTACTACAACTTCGGACACTGACATTTTGTCATCTTCTGATTCCACATCAGCAAGGTCATCCTTATGGCCATCACCATTCGTTTTGCCTCGCTTCTCTTACGATGTGCAATTAAAACTGGATCAGGGCAACTCAGCATTCCGGTCCAGTGGCAAATTTTTGACTCCAGACCCCAAACTTAAGTCAGGTATTTTAGATGCTTTGGCAGAGGAAATTATCAACTTCAAGGCATATCCGTCTGACTCAGAATTTAGTGATGTAGCTGAAGCACTGGTAGACAAACACCCGTGCCTCAAAGAGCAAGGTTCTGAGAGCGGCTACAGTGGATGGAAGATGAGTTTAAAATTTAAGCTTGCCAACTACAGGAGAACATTGAGAGGACTGGGGTGCCCTGAAGTGACTGTTAACGCCCTTAAGCGCAAACCTGAAGGAAAGCATAGCCCTGCCTATGGGATAAAAAAACCTAAAAAGGCAGAAGTGAACTACTGCCCAGTATTTCCTCAAGGTGAAACAACAGAAAGCCAGGAAAAGATGAGGGTGGAACTCCTTGCTGAATTGCAAAAAAACAACAACAATGAAATTGTGAGGAAGTTGATGGACATGACTTTTGCGTACAGAAGGCATGAAGTTGTCCATGATTCCCCTTTTGTTGCAGACTTCAAAAGCAGATGGCCTGCTCTTTTCCAAGTGCGTGAGGTAAGTCAGTGGATGTTTCCTTTTTTGAATGATATGAGAGCTGTCCAGCATATGTCTTTGCTGAATTGGCTATGAAGAAGTCCTCTTTATCTTATGCCTTTAGATAAATGCTGAATTTCGTCGCATCACAACCCTACCTTTACAGTCCAAGTTCATGTCCCAACTGGATCGGTTCTCTGATGATCTACTGAAAGTATTTAGCAAAAAGGGTGGAGTAATCAGAAAAAGGATTCAGGATGCAATGGTGCCAATCTCTCAGGTTGTATGTTTTAATTTTATTGATTTGTTTAATTTTTTAAATTGTGTTTTAATGTAACTAACACTTTCAGTGGCAATAGTGCTTAAGGCATTAGAGATGTGTATTGGAGGGTGTTATGTCAATTATATGAATATCAACAACATTAATAAAGCGATTGTGTCTGTATTCTCAGAATGACAACATTGAGACTAAGCGAGAATGCATTCTCAAGGGGCTGTGCATCTATCTGAATGAAGATCCACAACATCTGGTGAAGGAGTATTTGGTGAGTAGTGTTCTCTCTCTCTTCTTAATAAAATGAAAAAGGTGGGAAAAAAACATTTAGATTTTTAGTGGGTGAACAAAAGGATTTACTGTTTTAATGTCCAGCTTTAAATAAATAATTGAAATGAGTAACTACTTTCTTAAACTAATCTGTATACAGTACATTCCTTATTCTCAAATATTTTGAATAAAGTTTAAAATGCATTTTAAAAATAAACTAAATTCTTATCGTAACACATTTGTATATTTTATACAAAATTTGACAGTCTCTTGCAGGGCTCTAGACTAACTTTTTGCACTGGTTGCACTGGTGCGCCTAACTTTTTTTCTTAGGTGCACCAGCACAAAAGTTAGGTGCACCCAAATTTTTAACCGCATCACATTTAACACCACAGTTTTACAAAGTTATTTATTTATTTGTGTGTTTTTTTTAAATCGCTGTCCATATAGGCAATATTGACTTGTAAATGATTAACTAACAATATGGTCAATATAAAGTTCTTTATTTGAAGCACAATTCTACAAGAAAGGTAACGTACTTACTTACCATTTACTACCCAGATCAAGAGTTTATAATGCAGTCTATTTATTTATTTTAATTTTTTCATTTTTAAGTATAAGAATATTATGGTTAATGCAGTAACGAGACGGTAGGCATATTATTGACATAGGCTCCATGACATGACATGGCTTACCTTGGGCATGAGCATGCTCGACCTCAATGTGTCCAATAAGTAAGTATATTCACCGGTCTTCCTCTCCGCAAGATACGAACGTACACAATGACGCATTCCTTTATGGCGATATCTGTGTCTCCGTCGATCAGGAATGCCATGTACGCACTGTTCGCAATTTGCACAGACGTCTTTTTTTTTCAGTGTATCTGCGATGACTCCTATAAATTGGGCGCACGCGACATCATTGCTGTACGTCGGGTTTACGCCAAAAAAACAATCGGTGCTACCAACCTTTCCACAGAAAAACAAACAGTGTTCAACCAATCACCGTCAGGGGGTTGGTGTTGTGGACTTTCGTACTGGTGCAGGGATGTGCGGGAGGCAGAGCGAAAGTCCACAACACCAACCCTCTGACGGTGATTGGTTGAACACTGTTTGTTTTTCTGTGGAAAGGTTGGTTGCACCGATTGTTTTTTGTGGCATATCTCGGACCCTAGGCTGACCGTAGAGACGCGTTTTTTTCACAGCCGATTTATGGGGCAGGCAGCGAGCGGATCGTGAAGAAAGGTCAGCTGAATCTGACACTTTATGTTTCAGGCTTGAAATCGCTGATACAACTTTTAAGAGTCACGGAGTTTCGTTTTTTTCCCCCCTCGAACGGCTGGTCGCACCGGTGCAACTTTTGATTTTTTTTAGTCGCACCATTGAGAAATTAGGTCACACGTACGACCAAATTGGTCGCACTCTAGAGCCATGTCTTGTGTAAAATTAATTGTGTTTACTTTTTCTTCCCCAAAGGACTCAGAGGAGAGCACCGAGGCAGACATTAAGAAGACCACATTGGGCATCTATGTCATAAAGCATGAATCTGCAGATGCGACAGAAGACCCAGAAGACGTAGGCATTGTGCTGGAAGGTGTGGAGGTACTTTCTGGATTGGGTAATGTACTGTAGCATTGGCTACGGCCATGCTAGTTGGCCTTATATACTCTTTGAATCTTACATATCCACAAGAGCTCCGTTACACATTTGAGGTGCTGCAGAAAATCATTCTGGAGCTTGACTCTAAAAAACTCTCTAACAAAGCTCAATCCTTGAAGACCAAACTCTTCACCTAAGACTCATGGAAATTAAGGATCCCTTTGTGTTGTATGGAATTTCTCACTCTTGAATTTCACTTTGCACATTCTTTTTCAAGAAGAGGACATTGTATTTTTCATTTTTATTGTATTTTTTCATTTTTGTTTTATTGAAAACATTTTCAGTTATGAAAAACTGTTCTTGTGAAAAAAAAATTCCTTTCTGACGACACATTTGAAGTTACTAAACTACTAATTTAATAATAGTTATGAGTTTAAATTCTGGATAATGGTATTTATTTTGTGGATTGTTGTGCTTTTGTACTGGCACTTGATATTTTGCACTTTGAAGTGAAATTGTTGATTTCTTTTTTGCTCATTAGTTTGAGCAGAGGTTACTGCCTATCATATTTTTTTGTTTGATTTGATTATTTTGTGGATTGTTGTGCTTTTGTACTGGCACTATATATTTTGCATTGATATTTTGCAGTTTGAAGTGAAATTGGTTTTCTTTTTTGCTCATTAGTTTGAGCAGAAGTTACTGCTTATTATATATTTTTTGTTTGAGTTAAATACAGATTTTTCCAAAATATATTGACTTGTTCATATTTTATTTACAGCAGACTATAAATGTACACTTTATTGTTATTATGAAAAAAGAGTTTTTAATTTACTGAAACTTCATTTAAAGTGTCTCATTTGTTATGTTATGTAGGTATAATTATATCTTGTAAGCAGGACAAAAATTTGTGTAGTTGACATTCTGACAAAATTGAATGCAGTTAATATGGCAATATTTTATTCATTATGCATGGCGAAATTAAATGTAGTTAATCTGACCAGAATTTCTCTATTAGGCATGGCAAAACATTATCAAGTAGGAATGACCAAATTTTAGTTTTTTGTTTTGATTAAATAAATTTATGTTCATATAACAAGATTACAACAAATCATTTCAAACTGGTTAGATTTTGTTAGAAAAACGCAATTCAATTGGATGGAAAAGTTTTCCATAATTTAGTTACGTTCATTCAACAACTTTTTTTTTTGAGTGTAGAATTGTCCAAATTGTCTTGGTATAATGAAGCATTTAGAGTTTCCTTCACTGGAGTTAAGGGGCCTAGCCCAACCTCTGAAAAGCAACCCCATACCATTATTCCTCCTCCACCCAACTTTACAGTTGGCACAATGCAGTCAGGCAGGTAACATTCTCCTGGCATCTACCAAACCCAGACTTGTCTCTCTGACTGCCAGACAAAGAAGCATGCTTTACACCACTCCATGCAACACTTGGCATTGCACTTAGTGATGTGAGGCTTGCATGTAGTTGCCCAGCTATGGAAGTCAATTCCATGAAGCTCCCGGCGCACAGTTTTTGGCCTGCCACTTCATGACTGAGTTTCTCTTGTTCCTAAATGCTTCCGCTTACAGTTCATTGCGGAATATGTAGATATTGTTTTTTTTGTGTAAAGCACTTTGTGTTGAATTGTGTTTGTAGGAATATTCAGCACAAGTAGGTGAAACTACCTGCTTGGCATCTCTGCCTGGCGCACCTCCAACAGTGCCCTTCTGTCGGCTGCAGGGTTGTCAGCTGGGAGCCACCCTTCACTGATGTTTCGCTTCTTTATTCCCGGAACATCGCTGGGTGGTGGAGCAGCGATAGGAACGTCTCCCTACCGCCCCCTGCAGCTGGCCCTAAGATCCCTGCTTCCCCCATTGCTTATCCTTTCTGCGGAGCCAGAAGCTCCCCTGCTCTGCCTCCTCGGCAATACCTTTGATGACTCTCTTCAGATTGGTACCTCTGATGCCCAGGGACTTAGAGACGCTGAGCTGATGTTCCTACATAGCCTCTGCAACCAACCTTTGTCCACATATGTTCCCTTGTGCACCACACCCTGTGTTTTCCCTTATTCCACTTCCCTTTTCCCTTCCACTCTGTTACGCCCCAACCCTAGACTGGAGCTCGTAACAGAAATTGGGGGCTCGTCCAGGATCGAACTGTTAAATTTTGGTGGCGTCATCCCTCTTTTGTCTGTGTCACTCAGTCCCTGTGTTTTTTTCGGCTTTGGCGGATTAACTGTGGTGGGGAAAGTCTGTGTAATTGGGATTAGCATGGCTACGTTCGACCTGCTTGAGTTTACCCTGTGCCCCACACAGGAGCAGTTTTGCTTTGCATCCTTGCACTCAGTCTCCGACAGTTCCAACCCGGTCCCCTGAAAGGGAGAATATCGGATTTGATGCGAGTCGCCGTATTGACTTGTGCCCATATTTAGAGAAAACGAAGTAGATGCCTATTTCCCCATCTTTGAGTGCATCACGAATTGTTATATTATTCATAATTTAATTATAATGTAATCATATTATAATTATATTAATATTATTTGTATTAATATATTATTATTAATATTACTAGATGAAACAAAGTTTTCAACAGAAAAGAAAAATTGCCCCTGGTATCCAAAATTGCAGGACCTGGGAAATTAATGTTTTTAAGCCAATCAAACCTTTACACAATTTAGGGAAAATTCATGGTGTGTCAATATTGTCATTATGCAGTTTGTAATATTTAGTTTACAAAATATATCTTTTATGTGTGATTTACATACATGAAGAAGAGAGTCATATTTATAAATTTTTAGTCACTTCTTTTTTACAACTTTATTTTAAATAATCTCCAGGTATCAACCCCTAAACACATACAAGATAAAATGACCATTTCCCTCTATTTTTGGAACTGTCATAGGATCATTCACAGATTATGGACTATGCTACAAGATTCACTTGCAACTTCTGAAAATATGTAGTTAAACCGAAAATTAACTGTAGCCATCAGAATTGAAAAAATGATATTTTTTTCCAGTTAAGACTTGTAATTTGAATATATGGAATAAATGAACAAGAAAATGCTGAATAAAGTACCTGTTAAATAAGCCATTAATAAGCCTCACACAAGTGCAATTCATTTAAGTAATAACAGCATGACAATCTTCACCATATCCCACCAAAAAATATATACAACCATTAATATCAATGCTCTGACATTTTTACGTTGGAGCATCTGAAAATAATGCTTGTACAATTAATTGGGATCCCAAAGTTAGTCTTCCACAGTCCTCAAGAGAATGAGCTCTCCATTTTTAAATATCTATGCATGTAAAAGTGTCACTAAATGAATCACTGAAGTGATAGACATTTAAAGCTTTCCTTTAACAAAGTTTTACTTTTCATCCCAAAGCCATTTTTATTTGATTTTTTAAAAAAAAGGTTAAAATTGCCATAGCACAAATATATCCCAAAGTCTCAAGAAACAACAAAATATACAAAATGGGGCTTGTTCAAATTACCAATCTGGGGGTGGGGGCTAAGCTTAAATTAATATCCAGTGTCAAAATCTACTCAAACAGCCCATCTGAAGTGTTTCATGAGGTGTCCATTTGATAATTTGTTTAACGACTGAATAATATCTTGCACTGTTTTTCCATTTTTCATATGTGGTCCATTTTGGATCATGAAAAATATACAAAACCGGTACAAACATTCAATTTTAAAAAACTATGACTATGTACTGGCATAATTAAGGAAAATACTGTAAAGTCATTATATGTAAATTTCTTTAAGACATTTTGACATTAACAATACCCAAAAATTTAGAAGGCAAAAAATTTGTTGATGTAAAATTTTTTACCTTTATTTCTCCATGATCATTTCAGATTAATATTAAATATATTCATTAATTCCAAAATATAAATATACTCTAAATAATTACCAATAACCAAACTGTGATAAAGCACATAGAGTAACCCAAATTCCTGGTTTTGCTTTTTCCTTCTCACACGTGTGTCAATGACTGGTCTTCACAGTTCAAGCCGGACGGCAGTCTTCAGCTGCTCTCATTCAAAGAAGCGACACTGCATATACGTCTCTTCTGAGGCATGATAGCCAAATTTTTTATAAAATGCCACATTATTAGGAGCACACTCCAGTGTTATTTTGTAACAATCCAATTTTTTGCTTAGAAGTGTAAGAGTTGACACTAAGCTGTAATCAGAGAGAAAAACATATGATCATTATACAATTTGTTATAAAAAATGTAAATAAAATTATGATGGCATTAAGTAGACAGCTTGTAGAGGGACTCACAGCTTCCCTAGCTGCTTTCCTCGGCACACATCACTCACAACCACTTCCTCCACTCTACCTCTCTGTAAAAGGATTACTGAAATGAGCACAAAATCAATTCCAAACATATAATATAGAGAAATTTATCGTACCTTCGCACACGAATGAATGAATTTGTGTTCCGTGATGAGTGTTGCTGTTGCAACGATTTGCCCAAGATTTCTGTCCTCCACGACAATGACAAAATAATCACCGGTTTTCCTCATGTGGTCAAAATTCTCTAAAGAATGAGGGGAAAAAACAACCTTTTTAGTCATTTATGACTCACTCAACACATATTTTATAATACATTTTAATCTCTAAATACAAGGCATGCCTCACATTAACAAGTGCCACTTACTGATAAATTGTTCTGGTGTGACATCACCTGCTAAAGTGAGCTGAGATAAAAGTTTGTAGTATCCTATATAGAAATTAAAACACAGACATGTTCAATTATTGCACAATTAGTTATTAAACAGCAAAACCAAGCAACATCGAATTACAACTCAGGATGACCTAAACCCATACCTGCCAACACCCCATTTTCCCCTGGTGATCTCATGTACTTCAAGACAATCTCCCGGTGGGAGAAAGTGCCATAATCTGTATGGCCCTCAAACTGTTTTATGAATAAGCATCATACACGGATCCATAAGTTTTTTATGTTTGTCTGACATTACCAAAGTTGCCAGATTGTCCATGAAACACAATTTACACACAAAATTCACGCTACATACAATTTCAATTGTATGGCCCAATGTCACATAATGTTACACACAATTTCATCTATCACTGCAACCTGGCAACCCACCACATTTAAGAGGTGTGCACAGCTGCTCTTTGCCAATGCTGGAAGGAAACTTGAATGTTGGGTTCCTTTAAATCAGAGCTAGATAAGATTTTAACAACTCTGAGCTATTAGTTAAGTTCTCCCCGAGCGAGCTCAATGGGCCGAATGGCCTCCTCTCGTTTGTATAGTTCTTATGTTCTTATGTTGAATGAATTAGCCAACTTAGCTGGTGTCAAAATGTCAGTGCAGTGTCTGGGCAATGTGGCAAAAAAAAAAAAACTGCAAATTTAAACAGAGTTGGAATGAACAGACACCATTAATATCTGCTAGTCACCAAGATAGTGGCCATGCCTTTTGTAAAGTCTGTAGGACTGATTTTAATATAGTGCACAGTGGGGAAAAATGATGCCAGCCAACATATCCGTTCCCAATAGCACAAACGCGCCGCTGAGGCACAGAAGGGCACATCGACAATATTATTCTTCATTATCAAGGGACTCTGGATTACTGTGATGAGTCGAACATCCAGAAAGACAAATACTTTGTGATACTGGAAAAAGTGCATGACAAAAAGTCTTGAGGTTGTCACCAAGTTCGCGTGACAATCTGATCTTTTGTAACCACAGTGTTAAACTGCAATGATTCTGATAAGCTGATGTTGTTTCGTCATAACATAAACTGAAGTAAAAATATAAATCTGGTTACTTAACCTTATTAACTTACTTATGAATACATAAAAAAATAGCAATTCAAAACTCCCATATTTTGTAACTTAAATGTTGGCAGGTATGTCTCAACCAAACATTAAACGAAGGTTGGATACATGTAGTCATGCAGCTAAAGTGTGGTGGGAGTTTGCACCTCGGTTGAGGTCTGCAGTGTGAAGAGGACGGAGAATGAGACCCTCTCCAGGCTGGGCTGGGGAAATGGGAGGAGAGAATGGGACAGTGTTGCTACTCCAATCCAGTTCCTGGAGAAGAGTGGGGTCAAAAAGCGGAGTCTCATCCAGTAACATTCCACAGCCCCTGTAGAATATAATCATAGGAAGATTACTTTGTTATTTTGGAACTGTCCTTTAAGTTGTTCTACGAAATTGAAATGGTTACTAAAACCTTGTAATGTCTAGTAATTAATAAAAAGAATTGATAAAAAATATTTTCTCAACTAATTATTATTCTTTTAAAAATTATGATTAAGACACTATATACAATTAGAGGTGGGTGATATGTCGATTTTAACGTTTAATTCGAATTTACAGTTCAGGACGATGTGTTTTTATGAAAATCGATTTTATTACATGTTTTACATGCGAGTGCCAAAAGCGGAACTAATGTGACGCACCGTTCTTTATGGGTAAATTAGTGCGGCGCACCCAATCACTGTAGCAGATTCACAAACAACATGGCAACGAAAGGGGGAAAGCTGGAGCTTGTGCATTAATATGGAATTAGTTCGGACACAGACCAAAGAAGTCCTCGTTGCAAAGTCTGTTTAAAAACTGTTGCAACCAAAGGAAGCAGAATGACAAATTTATTCCAGCACCTAAAGCAGAGGCACGCAGCAGAGTGGGAGAAACGCAGCTCCCAGCAAAATGAAAATAGCCGCAGCACCAGCACAACATCCAAGGTTAAGCAAACAACCTTCCCTGAGACGTTTTCGAACTGTGTGCCATATGATAAGAATGGGGCACGGTGGAAGGCGATAAACGCTGTCGCGATATATATTGCAAAAGACATGGTGCCCATACATACTGTGGAAAAGCCAGGATTCTTTAACATGCTAAAAGTTTTTACAAGTTTCTAAAAGTGTTTACAATGGCGTGGTCTGCCATCTCACTTACAAGCATCTTTTTTGGCTTGTCAGATTGCACTTTAACCCTAAAATAAAATAAAAAACATAGTTAAAACTTGTTTCTAACCATTTATTTGTCATCTGTAGTTTGATTTTGAGTAGGGGAGGAGAAAATCGATTAAAATCGAAAATCGGATTTATTGTGAAAAAAATGATAGCAATCACCTTTAGCCCTGTAAAGACAAGCTGACCTAACTGTACATGTGATCAGGGAAAATAAAATGTTACTTTGTGCACTAATCTGGCTACTCTGTATTTGCAACACGGTATAACAAACATGATAAAAAACTAATTCTAGAAAGAAAAATTTCTACGGGGTTGCCCAAAATTTGTGATGTCAAAATGGGGTCACAGGCCAAAAAAGGTTGGGAACCACTGACCTAACAATATACAAATCTATACATTTTTTCAGCTCTGTAATAATAATAAAAGATAATATAAACAGCATAGTTGTAACGTTTCATTTGTTTAACACTACGGGGTTTAAATCGGCCGCCCCAAGATGATTCGATTTGCTTGAAGGAATGATTTGATGCATTTGAAATCTTTGATTTCTATCTAAATTAAAATCTTTAACTTCACTGGACTAAACAAATATTACCATGGAAACTTAATTACACACAATTAATGTTACATACATTTAACTGCAAATTTTATTGGTAGCAGTCTGAAGTCCCCCTGACTAAATTTATCATGGGGGGATTTAATTGTATCACTTTGTCATAGTCACCATGCTTCGCTCTCAACTGTGCGTGTCTATGTGTGAAAAGGAGAGCAATTAATCACGTTTAACAATTCAGAATGTGATTTCAGCCATCACGCAAGATCAAGTCAGTTGTTCAATATCCCTTGATGTTATGGTCAAGGAATTGGTATATTGGTATAATGAGCCAAGTGTTAAAAATACTTTGATTAATAAATACTGTTTTTGTTCGTAGTAGTTAATCCCGTATACATCTGTAAAGAAAAGTTCAAAGAAATACAGGCAACCACCTAATTGTGGAGAAAGCTTCTGCAAATTGGGATGCAAGTGGAATGTGCAATAAACTAATAGGTGTAGTTTCAGAGTTACATGTCGCAAAAATGAGTAGGAGCATTCAGGAAAAAAACACATTTACTGGCTATCCCCTTTTCAGCTGATCCATGCAGTACTTCTAGAAATTGTACCAGTCAGCTTCCTTGTTAGCAGCAGTGAAATATGTAGATTTCCTCCACTGCCCCCTTCACTTCAAATATGAAGCGCAAACAAGGCATCGGAGTGTGGTATGGTTAATGTGTGCATGGAGCAAATAGAGGTTGTGTGTGAAACACCACTAAAGACATGCACACTCAACACAAAACCTAACAGAGGAGTGAACACTCCACGCAAGAAGTGTCACACCTGCAGGTACTACTTACTGAGCCTGAATACCACCCCTTAAAAGACACCCCAATACATGCATGAGTAAATAGACTCCCAATTGCATTATCTTTCAATCATACTGAATCTGACCTAGCCACTCTGCGCATGCTCCACAGTTTCCCTCCCTGGGCTTTGATCCAGAAGTAACAGAAGAAGCCGGCATACAGCAGATATGCAATGTGCAGCACTGTAAAGATCTGTACGCTCAACCAAAGGGCGTTAACAACTGGTACTAGCGGCTAATGACATCACAGCACGAGGTGGGATATTTTGTACTGAATTCAAAAAATGGCTGTAGTAGGACGAGACGAGGTGCAATATTAATACCAACATCGCACGTTTTGCACATCCAATTCTGACATCACTAGTCAGCTAGATTAAGATCAGGCCTTTTCTTACCTTCAATTTACCTTCAATATTATAGCGCAGGGCGTTTACGTTTTGGTTTGCAAGACAACTACCTCCACCTCCGGCAACTACCCTCCAACCTGCCTGCCCTTGGCTCAACACGATGCCTTGCCATCCTTCCCTTCGGCTGTGCCTCTATTAATCCTGCCATCGTGCATCAAGCACCCCGTGCCTGCACCAGTCGGCCGCTGCATTGAGACATATATTTCAACCCCTGTATTAGCTTAGTCATATCATCTTGTTTGTTTGACTCATCTGCCGGCCCCTGGAGGATGGGCTCCCCCTTTGGGTCTGGTTCCTCCCAAGGTTTCTTCCTCTTAGGGAGTTTTTCCTTGCCACCGTTGCCTTTGGCTTACTCAATGGGGGGTCCTTATGAGGCAGAAATGTAAAGCGCATTGAGACAATGTAATGTTGTGATAATGCGCTATATAAATAAAATTGAATTGAATTGAAAAGGTAAAACATTTTTACTCTGTGATAGGAAAAAAACGTAGCAAGTTTTGCGATTTTAATTATTCCATTTCAAGATTATCAGTATATGTTTAAAAATCTGTTTAAAGTTTACCTCCCCTGCTTTTGCATGAGCACTGCAGGTGTTCTGAGACAATCATAATCATTTTCATCCTTGCTGTTTAAATTACTTCTAGTCGGGTTTGTGAGAAATTTATGTTGAACTCCTTTTTTGTTTCATAAATACCCCAATATTTATTATAACAAAATCACACTGCCATATTTGAAATTTTTTCAATACAGTGCTGTCATAGTATATTATACAAAATACTTAATTTCTTGTTATTCTATTCTGATCTTGTATCTGTTCTTCCAACCAGATCGTAATTACAGCTTAGGTCATTTCATTTGTCCACGCATCCATTATTACCAATTTTATTTATTTATTTTTTACTTTCTGTGAATTAATGGGTCAACTGGAAAAAGTCCAATAACAATAACAAGCTGAAAGGAGTCATATCACTACCTACTGTAGCGAAGTCAAACATACTTTGGTCAACAAATAGATTCCCTTCCCGTGTATGTATACTGGGACAAGGACAGCAGTCCTATTAAATGGTGCAGTCAAGCTATAACCGTAGCTTGACCTAGCTGTGCATGTAAACGTACGGACTGCCAAATAAGCCAATAACAAATAAATAATAGCCAATACCTGATCCACCTAATCGGTATGGATTGGTACAGATACCGATCTGAATATCGGACTGGTGCACCTCTAATTATAACCATTTGCAAATTACATTACATTGGTTCATGTCAGATTTTGCAAATCCAAACCATTTCCACACAATTGATGTAGAACCAATTCTTCCTGTAACCAGTCAAGATAAATCAACTACATCATAGTACTCAGGTTAATAAATTAGCAAAGTATTACATTTCCCAAATTAGCTGAAAATACACAAAATGAAATGTTTTGGAGTGGCCTAGGGGTTACTCCATGAAGCAGACTGATCTCAGATTACAGGAATAATCTAAAGGTAAAGGTATTACAACCAGTTATTAGGTAGAAACATAGCTCAGGAGACAGGAGTATCAAAGTTGGGGACACCAAGAGACCAAACAAGCTGTACTGGAAGGCTAAACTCTGTGCTCGGGATCGGCCTATAATGAAAATGTCCCCCACTTCTTACATGCAACAGTTGTGGCACAGAGGAGCAACTTCAATGGCAGAATACTTTCTCTGAAACGCAGCAAGGAATGCTTTGCAGATCCTTTATTCATGCTGCCATCAGGGCATACAGCTCTGCCCTAAGCTAAGCCAGCAAGCCAGCCAATCACCACCCTGCAGACTAACATTATTCACATTCCCTTTTCATCATTCGTTCACCCCTTCATATATTTGTACTATATATTTTGCACTGCTTGACCTGCATTTACTTAACCTGCAACCACTATACAGCACTTTTTAAAAATAAAGTTTGCACATTATAACTTTTTGCACATTTGTATTTATTTCTTTTACAAAAGTAAGACTATTTCTATTTTTTTTTCTAATTTGTTTTAAGTATACTACTGTCTAATTTTTGTCCCTTTCTATTTCCTGCTGTAATACCCAAATTTCCATCCAGTCATTAATAAAATCATCCACCCAATAGTTTAAGAGAATCTATTTCCCCACATGGCTGATATGGGTTTTAGATAATTTATATAAATAAAATAATTTGAGAAACGTATTATGTTTTACATAGGTTTCCTCTAATTAAAGGATAAAAACCATTCAGAGACAAATATCCAAAAATACAGAAAATCAGTATGGGGGCAAATACGTTTTTTTTTTTTTTTTTTTTTTTTTACATAATTACAGTGGTACATAAGTTCTCGAACTCATTGGAACTCGAATTTCTTAAAAGTCGAACCAACCACTTCGAAAAAAAAAAAAAGACCTAGAACTCGATCTGAATCTCAGAAGTCAAACCGTGAACGACGACCTAAGATAACTTGTACGCCCTGGGAAATGAGTCACGCGGCACGTCTCTCAGCGGAAACAAAGGTTAAAGCTTCAGTCTCAGCCTCGCATTAACTGTGATAGCATCCTGCATGTTTACACTAGCTGAATACATATATTTAGACAGTAAAAATACATTTAGACAATGATAGACAGTAACAGTAATTATTATATAATAAAATACATTTAAAAATAAAGATTTCTTATTCATTATTTTAATATTAATAATACGCCATTAATACGTTTAATTATAATAATATTGTTGTGCCTGGCGGGGACGGAACGGAGACAAAGGCGCAGACGTCAGGGTATCGGGGAATACGGGGTTTAATTACAGGTAAGGCAGGCAAAACAAACTGAAACGCGGGGATTCCACACGGGGTTAACGAGGGGGTGTGGCACACGGAAGGAGCGGACGATCGGGGCAGGACACATTGTTTGGATACATTTATTTTCTTGCATTACAAATTACTGTTTTGATAAATGTGCTTAGATGTGTTTAGTACAGTATATGCTCTTTTTGTTTTATCCGGTTCATTTTGTGTCTAAATGCTAAAACAAATACATATTTAGGTGTAATTTTTGGGGCCAGGTGTTCTGTCATAAAATCCTACCTATCGAGACGTGCTATCGAGCCTTCCTGTGCATGTGCAGTTCCACCGTTTTGGGATTAGGGTTAGGTTTTAGGGGTTAGGGTAAGGGTTTTAGGGGGTTAGGGTTAGGATTAGGGTAAGAGTTAGGGTTAGGGCTATCGATTAGCACTACGGTAGCATTTTTCGACAAGGCAGCATATATCGACAGAACACCGGGAACCAATTAATTGGTTTTCCATTATTTCTTATGTGGAAAATTCGATCACAACTCGAACTTTTCAGGATTCGATCCGGAGTTCTGAACGGATTAAATTAGAGTTCTGAGGTACCACTGTATTTGCATAATATTTGGAGATATTTCACGAAATTCATTAAAGATCATATGGATAATGTATGTAGAAATATATTCATAATCGTAGGGGGGGAAAAACTGAGTTAGACACTATTCATCTTGTGCTTAAGTACAACACATTGTGACTAAGATCTGTACTAAATCTACAGAAAAGACAATAAAACTATATACACACAGCTAAATTAGAAAACAGTTGGACATGGAAAACTGGCGTATGTAAGCAACAGAAAATAATTCGACAGTCTGAAATCTCCAAATCAGATTTATTAACTTATAATTCAAAGGATAGGAAACATGGCAAATGTATTTATATTTATATCAAATCAATTATTATTTACAATAAACACAGAGCTACGGAGTTCCACAGAAAATATGCGACAACTTGCGTCAACCATCTAAGAGGAGGAGCTGTACAGTAGGTCTGGTTTATTTTTACTATAGACCACATTCAAAAACTTACCCTTCTAAAGACACGTCATCAGACTATCTCAGTACACAAAGAAAAGTGGTGACGTCATATTACTGGCGGCCGCTTAGTTTTAATTTCATTTTAATCTGTATAATAAAACAAAAACTGAGTTGACCACAAGTGATTATTTATTTAAAATAGTCACAAAAGTTTTCCGATTCAATCTTTTGCCGTACCAGATTGAATTAAATCGTACTTGAGGCGTATCGATTACAGGGAAAAACTGAATATACAAATGTTAACCATTTTTGCTACCTACCAAATTAGTTAGAAAAGTTATAGAATCTTTTATTTTCCGCGTTTTCTTTCGGATTGGGGTTTGTTAGCTAGCTACATTACTACAGCTATCTAGCTAGCGTCACGTCAAACACCACCCTGTACTGCCACTGGGCAATAAGTTAGCTCGTTAGCCACGTAATATATTTATTACATTCAAAAATGTCTTTCACAGATAATTTTGTTTTAGAACTCCAGCACAAGGGAGATATTTCAGTCACGATAATATATATGAACCGTTGTGGGCTATATAGTACTGGCACTAGAGTAAAACACGCCACGAACACAGCCAGTAACTACCATAAATTCAATTTTTTTGCAAATACTTACGGTGACATCAAGAAGAAGAAACCTGGACAGTAAAGGACCTATGAGGCTATACACTTTTCAACCTGTATATGACTAACAGGACGCTTCTTGACCACAATCAGCCGGAAACGCCTCCGCCAGCCCCCTCCGTATACGCCGTGGTATGACGTGGCCAAGGGAGCGGGGCAAAAACGTCACGCGTCGACGTGAATTAAATAAGGAAATATATACAGGGATTATAAACACGTATACATGAGCGGTTATAAAATGAAGGATTTTGCATATATAACACATATGCCCGGTTTTAATCTTAAGGTAAAAGATATTTTCTAATGAACACCTATATACTGCTGCAAAGCTAAGGGAACAACCTAAATGGAATGCCAGTTCACTTCAGGGCACGTACTCAATCTGAGACAGTAATTCGCAGGTGTTGCGCCGAAATCCCCATCTACTTTAACTACATTTTTAGTATGACCAAGTAAATTTTACTGAAAATAGTGAAATAATCACTAATTAAATTTCGAGTTGTAATCAAATTATTAATAACAATAACAACCATGTTGGCTCAGATTTTGAAATATTTGGGTCCAGCCATTGTGTATTTATTTTAAAAAAGAAAGGGTGAATGAACGTCAAACACAGAGGGGGCACTGTCATATTGTCTTACGATGGTGATCGTTACCAAAGGCTGTTTTCGTGTCAGATACGTTAAGACGTGAGACAACTTCTGGCTTCGAATGCAGGAAATTGAACGTCCTGTATGCTTAGTGAGCAATGACTGAATCATTAGTTAGCGTACGTGCAATCAGCAACGCCTGGCTCTGACTTTCGGGATCAGTTCATTTGGTATACAGAACCTAGACAACTAACAGAAAAGATTGATTTTTGGCACTTTCACATAGGAGACGTCTGCAATAGAGGCTTCCTTTAGTGTTTTGCCAAACCTAACAGCTAAAGCAAAACACCGCAACAATGGGCTTTGTTTTTAAAGTATTTGTTGTGTTAAATTTGCTTCCGTTTCTCAGTTGCGAGTTTCAAGCGGGTAATTCATGCAAACTGAATGATGTTTGTCGTGTAAGTAACAATCATATTACGCACCAATTAGCTTACAGTGTCTAATAGTAACAATAGTTGTTTTTAAAGCATCACTGCTACATTTATTTACGTTATTTTAAATTATGGTAAGTTTTTTTATTTTATTTTAAAATAAAAGGTCCAAAATTCGGTCCTGAATAGTATGTCTGATTTGTGAAGATGACAGATTACCTGGACGACTGTTTGTGTGACACGAAGACTATAGATTCATTCAACAACGGCAAACTCTTTCCTGTACTACACCAGTTACTACAGACTGATTACTTCAGGTTTTATAAGGTAATCTGACGCTTCTTTGCCTATTTAACGTCTTTAAATGGAAAAGGTTCAACATGTTAAAGAATCATTATCTGGGTACAGGTGAATCTGAATAAACCTTGCCCCTTTTGGGCAGAGAAGAACCGCTGTGGGATGAGGAACTGTGCCGTGAAACCATGTAAGCCTGTGAGTATTATATCTGAATATATGTTGTAATACATTGCATGTACTCTCATATGCTTAGGCTATATTAATGGATTCTAAGAATATATCTAGTACCCAAATGTTCTGATAGGTGGTGGAAATTATGATAGTTTAAGCAAAATATTTATGCATTACTATAAAGGCATGTTTTACTTTAAAATGTTACTTTTTTGGTGTAGAAGCAGTTGAACACACCTTGGTTTGATCATTATGGAAAAATTATGTAATTATTCAAAATATCTTTTTTAATCTATCTGAAGCATGGGCAGAACTGGACTGGCCATCTGGCATACTGGACATTGTCATAGTGGGTCAATGGGTATTTGGGCCAGCCAAATTCATTGTGGTGGAGCCCTGCCTGGAAAAAAGTCATTGTGGAGGACCCTAAAATCCTTGGTTATTGTTTCTTATCCTAGTTCTACTCTATGCATGGGTCATACATTTATCACCTAAATATTGGTAAAAAAGTGATGGATACATATAATATAAATATATAACATATACTAAGACATAGACATCCAGTCATAGGTAAAAGACAAAAAATACAGTTAAGACACAGTTAAGGACCTGATTAGGTGGGAAAGATTGTGCCAGCAGGTCATGGAATTGAATATTTAGATAGATAAAATAGATTTTCACATCAGTGTTATGGGTCCAGTGCAAAGCCAGGCTTAGGCTGGAAGGGACCAAAGTGTTCAGCAGTGGAGCAACTTTTTATCAGCTATTGGAAAAAAGTCAAGGTTACCCAGCGCTTGAGTTTTTTTTTTTTTGAAGGAAGGCTGGCATCAGGGCTAAAATACTCAGGGCTATAGCCCCAAGTGATCAGACCTAATGTGCCCGTGTTCGGCACCACTTACAGAAAAGCTGAGTCTGAGTCAATGGATAAGAAGGAAAGATGGATGGATGGATGGGTGACTGAGGGGGGGCTTACTGCAGCAAAAAAAAAAAACAACACACACAAATAAGGAATAATCCCATAACCAAAAAGCTGCTTTTTTACTTTGCCCTTCAGTGCTGCATAACATACGGTGCAAGTCCATAATTTTTGTGGAGTGAAAATAAATATGCATTCTTATAAATAAATGAGGAAATAAGGATCTCATGGGACAATCTATTGGCTCACCTGACTTACCCTTTTACCGCCCTAAATATCTATCTATGAGTACCGATAAACTGGCCCTATTTATCAGATTGAAAATCTCCAGGCATACATTCTTTTTAACAGTAACATTCTTTCACATTTCCTATTTTCACATCGAAGCCATATTATTATGATTTAGGTAAGATGTTTTTATCTAGGATAAATATTTCAGTGAAAATTTCAAATTATTCAAAGGGATGAGGAACTGTGCTGTGTAACCATGTACTGTAAGCCTGTGAGTATTATATCTGAATGTATTTTGTAATACATTGTATGTACTCTCATTTGCTATGGATATATTAATGGATTCTAAGAATATATATAGTACCCAAAAGTTCTGATAGGTGATGGAATAGGTGGTGTTTAGCTTTGGCCTTTTTCAGACTTTGTAGAGGCATTGCATGGAAGATGGAAGTGATTCAATTTGAGACAGATTGCCCCAATACTGAAGCAGCACCACATAGTGATAAGAAAAAAAAGAGCAGTTTGGAGACTTCTCATTAAGACAGGGCTGCCCAGCCATGCTCCTGGAGATCTACCATGCTGCAGAGCTTAAATGCAGCCCTAATTTAACACACCCAATTTCAGAAAAACAGGCTCTTCAATAGCATTTCAGTATTAGATCCAACTATTTTGAAGCCATTGGAAGATACAATGAAGATACACACAGCTTCTTTACATTTAGGCTTAAGATGTAACCCATAGTCTTCTTTGTCCTTAAAATATCTTTTTTAGAACACTGGTACTTTTTAAATGTAAATTTCAGGATGTCAGTTTTGACAAATATACACCTATTTCAAAATGCATTGATGTTTTGTCATTACCAGCATGTGAACTTTTCAGTATCAAGAAACCAAAATATGCTAGGTAACTAGGTAATATTTCAAAGTAATGTAGTCCATCCATCCATCCATACCCAGGGATTTAATGGTGTTCTAACTTTTTACAGAATGAAGTGCCAGAATGGATCAGAGAGAACCCACAGGTAACTAGAATCTGTGCTATCGGAAATGACAGCATTGTATTCCCTGGACAAGCGACATTAATCAGCTTGCACAATTACTAGAAGTACTGGTTGAATTACCTGGAAATGTGAAAGTTAATTACAATTTTAGAAGTACTGGACGAATCACCTGAAAACAAGGACTCATTGAGTATTCGGGTAAAAACATGTTTATTAGCTTCCATATTACCTGGTGAACCATGTAGTCATTCTAGAAATTGTATAGGTTGGTGAGTGTGGGTCAAGTATAGTTTAGATGGGTGGAGAAGGTGACAGAGTTGTCTTGGGAATACAGTGTTGTTCCGACAGCCCTCCCTTCTACGTAGTTTGTGTATGTTCTAATGTTAAATTATGTTTGTGTGTTTTCTGAGCAAATATATACTTAGTACCCATAAAAACAGCTTCAAACATTTTCTTTGAGCAAAACTTTTCCATAGTGTATGACAAATATTTATCTATTTTAGCACTCTGATGAAGCAAATGATGGCCTACACAAATGTGAAGATGATGAAAAACTTGGTGATGTGGACAGTTCACTTAGGTATCTTTTAAATGTGACTCAAGTATCATTATATTTCTCAGACTTCAGGGAATACATGTGGTTTTGGGATGAGTCGTTGCAGATGCCGTAGACTCTTTGGTTTGTTAAGACAATAATTCAAATGGATAGATACTTTATTAATCCTGAAGGAAATTTAAGAAAAGATAACAGAATTTGAAAAAGAAAAGTATGAAAAGAACACACAGAATAATCAGAGCTACTGGATAGGCTGCTACTCGCTGCAGTGCTGGAAGTGGAAGTCATATAGATCAGAAGTACAGCTTCATGGATCTTTTCCAAACTTTTCAGAGGCATCGTATGGGTGATGAACTGGAAATAATTAAAATGGCCCCAAAATTGATGCTGCACCACATAGTGGAAAAAAATGGCAGTTTTGACTCTTCATCCCGTTAAGACCATAACTCAGAAACTATCTCATGCACTATCTGTGTCTGCGGAGTGGCGTCTGGCTGGGTGCGGGTTCAGCTAAGTTTGTGGGGGAATTCAATCATGTCATTTCACCCTAGTCCAGTCCAGTCTAGTCAGTGGTGGCACATACATGAACAGGCACAGCTCTGGTGTACCTAATTACACTAAAACAACTAATAATACAAAGTTCTCCATGGTCACTGGATAAATAGGCACAAAATATTCTTGTTTAATTTTCTTTGTTAACAAGATTTTGCACAAGTTGTGAAGTGGCTCAAATCATTGTCTGTGTACTGGATATCACAATTCTGCCTAAAAATGCCTACCTTCTGTTAGAAAATATTAAAGCCAAAAACAGAATATCGAATCGGCTACCTTAACTGCGGTAACTCGCAAAAGACCAAAATTGGTCTTATTTAGACATAAATAATATAATTAACTTTTTAAGACATGGACATTAAGATGTACAAAATGATT